CGCCTCAGCCTCAGCCTCCGTCTTGGTTAAATAGCTAAGGCAGACACGCGCATCATGCGCCGCTCGGCGCTCGACGACACATTGGCACGCCTTTTGGTGGCACGCCTTTTTATGAATTGGGCATGCTTTTTGATGGCACGCCTTTTGATAGATTGGGCACACCTTTTGAGGGTGCCACTTTTTCATGGGTCCGACAAGACTTTGTAAACTGTCCCGACATTGATTCCGGTTAGCTCCTTTATGGGTCTGACAAGACTCTGTAAACTGTCCCGACATTGATTCCGGTTAGTTTCTACAAGGGTCCAGCAAGACTCCGTAAACTGTCACATAAACTGTCCAGACATTATCTGCTACAACGGTCCGACACGACCATACAGTGTCTTCTCCAACGGTGTGACACGACCATACCGTGTCTTCAACAACGATTTGACACAACCATACAGTGTCTCCTATCCTATTTTATTTTATTTATCAGTTTACTTTCCTGTTTTGTTACTCTCTCCAAACTCAAGTTGGTTAGTACCTATCCTCCTTGAGTTTGAGGGGGGCTGTTAGTATATTATTATGTGTTAGTGTTTAGCTTTAATAATTAGTGTCCCCTTGCTTTATGCTTTCGGTGCCTCAATTGGCATCCTATGTTGGCTTCTCCTCTCTTTAGCTCTTTGTAAATATACACAGAGATATAGAGTTATTCATTTGCTTTCTCTTCTCTCTTTCTCAATCTATTGTTACAGATACCTATATCTAAAATGTTACATTTACTCACATGCTATTCTCCTCGTATTATTGATGTCAAATCCATTAATTTCAAATATGTAGATCCAAAGGGAGCCTAAGGCTGTGGTTAATTCAAGGATTTGGAGAGAGATTTAGAAAGAGAAAGGGAAAAAAATAGGTAAAATATGAATAAAATTGCTCTCCAAATTCATGAATCAAACACAGCTTAAGGGTACAGTTAATAATGCTCATTACTGCTCGGATGGGGTTTGAAGATTAAATTAAAAGTATAATACAATTAGTTTGTTGCTGTTGTTGAACTTCATGCTATCATTTAGGGACATTAAGGGATAGTCTTCCCTGTTTGGTTTTTTCTCTGTTTTGGTAGTCTGTTTTAATGTTGGCAAATTGCTAGCAGTTTGTTTGAGCTGTGCTGTGTGCACAGAAAGAATTTCACACAATGACACAGATGTATCTTAAAATGTTCATATTTCTAGTTGAGAACATTTTGTTTTCCGCGACTTTCCTTTGTTTTGGGAGTAAATTTGTGACTGTTAAAAAAATTCTTTTGTTTTAGCCAATTAAATAAAAATAAATAAATAAATAAACTGAAATGCAGCATCCCGGACTGTATGGAAGTGTTTAGCAAAGGAATACACCGTGCATTGGTACCAATAGACAGCCACATGGAAAACATTGCAGTAGTGGAGCTCGCGGAGTCTGCCTCAAGCTATCGGATGCTCACACAAATGGACCTCTTGAGGTTCTTGAAAGCACACGCCTCCGAGCCTGAGCTGAGAGGTGTCATGTCGCACACTGTCTCACAATTGGGAGGGGTCACCGATATCATTTTCGGGGTAACACACCGTGCAAAAGTCATCCAAGCCATCAAGTGCATGAGGACTGCTGCACTAAATGCTGTTCCAATTGTTGAAGCTTCAAGTGGCCTTAGAGAAGATCACAGTCAGCTTATAAATGTGAGTTCTCATAGTCTTCTCACTTAATTCTTGATATATTTAGTTTCAAGTACTATTTAAATAGAATCCTCCTTTTGTGTGCGAAGTTTAGTGATTTATTTTCTCAAGAGAAAAAATAATGGGAGCGAGGGTGGGTAATTATTATTATTTTTTTTCAAGTTGGCACAATCTAAATTATTTGACTTTGGGTAATTGGTGTGGTTTTTTCAAAATTTAACGCTGATTTTGGAATACCAAATTTCGGAAATCCATATTCCTTGCGTTACAGTAACTTAACTGAGAATGTTTGTTTTGAATTTTTCAGTTCCTTTCCATAACTACCTTTTTGTTTGAGACTAAAGGTACAAATATTAGGTTCTGTTTGGATCAGTGGATTTGAAGTGAAGCAATTTGAGATTAAATTTTATAAAATTGTAGGAAGCTTAACTATTGGTGATAAACTGATAATTTTAAAGTGAAGGATTGAATGGAAGATGAAAGAAATGCATTTTGTTAAAATCATTCATGGAAGGATTTCAAATAATATGCTCAAAGTTATTACAAATTTGTCACTCTTAAATCCATTCGTGAAATCTAGATAAAAAGTACTATATTGAATTAGAAATTATACAAAGATTGATAATTTCTTCCCCATTATGGGGCTTTTTGTTAGGTTGGTTAGTTGTTGGGCTCGTCATTTCTTATCCATTATAGGGGTGACTAGTTGTTGGAGTTCTATAGTTATTAGACTATGATTGTCCAGATGTAATTCTCTTCATATTTATAAATAATCTCATATCAAATGGCAAAAAGTAAACACCAAAATAAAAAAATAAATATAAACTATACTCTTTTAATGATTGATGTCAAATTCAATGGTTTGAAATCCATAAATTCTAAAATTGACATTTCACTGATGCAAGTGCAGGGCAAAGGGAGGAAGCTAATAGGGACATTTTCATCTACAGATTTGAGGGGATGTCCAATTTCTGAAATGCAGTCCTGGTTGCAAGAAAGTGTCCTCGACTTCACTGAGACACTTTCAGCAAGCCCTTCACACACGGCTTCTACCCAGGTGACTTCACCGAGGGAGCTCGTGGCATGCCGTGGTGAATCAAATCTAGCAGAAGTAATCGACAAGGCTGTGACCAAGCAGGTGCACCGAGTCTGGGTTGTGGACCAGCAGGGCTTGCTCGATGGGCTTGTTTCGCTCACTGACATGATTAGTGTGACAAGGGCCTCTCTGCTTTCAGAATCCTCCTAAATTCCTCCTAATGTGCATGACCTTTAAGCTGGTTTGAGTAGTGTCATCTATATTATTATGTATGACATTCCCAAGCTTTGTTGTGACATTTAATAGTTTCTTCAGTGGTTGTAAATTTGGGAATGAGCAAGTTGGGTGAAGTTATTATTCTTCAGTGGTTGCAGGTGGCATTGAGTAATTTTTTATATGCTAGAATGTTGTTTGTTATTATTACCACCGCTCTGCATATAACAACAATGTTATTATTGAGAATTTTATTTTAAAAAGTTAATGTGTGTTTTAGATTCATTTTAAGAACTTATTTGAGAATATATTAAATTAGTTAAAATATTAATATAAAAGTTAATTCATTCATTCTCTCTATTTTTGCTCCATTGACCAATGTTCTATTTTAGTGGATTAAGTAGAAATTATAAACATTGTATTTTAATCCAAAACTATGTGACAACAAAATGACTAATTTTAAACCACATGGATAAATAGTGTAATACTTCAAAACCTAAGAGCATCTCCAATGGTAGTAGGCATTTTACCTATCTAAATATTACTATAAAGTATACATTTTATTTTGCCTGTCAACGATTTCATGTTTCTACCCCAACCATGCTCTTTATTTTAGCTATTCATCCAAATACTATTAACTTTATAGAATGCCACGTCAGCAACAAAGATGGAGGGAAATAATCTTAATGATTAAATACATTTTGCCTAACCTTGAAGGCTAGCTACATGTAGCTAGTGAATGTGAGCTGAGCCAAAATGCCTAAGCATATGCCTAGTGCATTGGAGTTGAAAAAAGTGAGTCACATTAGGCATTTTGACTAACAAGCATCATATGCCTAGTGGGTTGGAGATGCTCTAATAGCACACCGAACATGTGAGAGGATATACAGTAAATCATACAAAAAACGTGTTTCTCAAAATCTGATCATGGTGAGAGAGTGATTTTGTTGTTTGGGTTGTTTGAGGTGTCCTAAATAAATGCACTTTTTGTCTTTTTGAATTAAAAAATTGAGGAAAAAAATATGGATGTTTGGGTTAACTTTTTGACTTTTTATGAAAAAATGTGTATTACAAAATTGTAAAAATTGGTTTGTAGGAAAAAATTAGGATTAGGAGTTGTGCAGCCGTAATTGTTGACTTTTGGTGAATAGTGTTAACTTTTTGAGTAACTTTTTGACTTTTTCTTATCTTCCCAAACTTTAATTGAAAATGTAAGAGAACATGCTGCGTGTTTTCACAGTCAACACCCACTGGTTTTAATTATAAAAATCACATATTCACAATTAGATCACAATAATTCAATGTTGATCACATGCCATGCCATGACACTCCACAATATTCATGTTGATCACATGCATCTTCCCACCAGAAATCTGTAGTGGATTGTGATCCATCAGGAAAGGAAAAACGACAATACAACATCATTATTAATTAACCGATAATATATTATGTTACAAAATTATTTTTGTTTTAATGGGATTTATTATCCATTTGCATAATTATTATTGATCTGTAACATATTTTAGTGATCACATAATATTACCCTCATACTGAATTTTCACTTTATTGTGATCCAATGCTAGAGAGACTATTGTACCTCCCATTAGCTGATTATGAAACCATTTTCCACTGGAATGGCTTGCCTGTCCTACTCTATTAAAGACGGAAAGCTTTCTACCCACCAGAGAGAGAAGAGAGAGAGAGAGAGAGAGAGAGAGAGAGAGAGAGAGAGAGAGAGAGAGAGAGGTCACAGTTGCAATGAGCAAAACCAAAGGCTTACAGAACTAACCTCAACAAGATAAGCATAGTGGTTGAGTGGTGATAAACACTTCAAAAAGTTCATATTCCATAAATAGTGGTATTATAAATTCAGAAACTTTAACATAAATTTTACTCAGTAACATTAATCTATGGTGTAGATTCATATGTGAATTTCATATTTCACCAATTCAATTTTTATCACACAGATATATTATCAAGAAAAATATAAGTAAATATATGTGGACAATAGCATTTCTTGTTTTATAGAAAATCGGACCCAAAACTTGTGCCGGGTGAATATTCGAGTAGGTTTTGAGAAAAATTATTGTCCCGGATTTTTATGAACAACAATGATAGAAACCACTAAAAGTGGTGCTCTAAATTAGCACTAATGAGTTGGCATCCATTAAAAAAAAAAAAAAAAAAAAAAAAAAAAAGAGGCACAACATCACCGTGGTAATGGGTGGAACCCACTGACACATCATTAGTGATAGCACTTATTAGTGCTCTCACACATTTTCCTTTTATGAATAGCGTGTTCGGAAATTAATTTAAACTATAAATTGATATTTGCAAGTAAAATTTAGAATAAAAATTTTAAATTTATAACATTACTGACATGTTTATGATGGAACACTATTATGTCATGTTTGTTTACCGATATGGGTGGCCGGATTGAATTGCTATAGTTGTGGGTCTCACCCACATCGTGTTTAGTGATGATTTAGGAGGGAAGATTGATAATGCGAGGGGCTTAGTAATCCCCCTCAGTAGGGGGATTAATTTGGTTGAATTTTGAGTTGGATCATGGAAATAGTGAGTGTTGAGTCTATTTTATATAAAATCTTTATTTTTTTAATATTATTTTTTTACCAAGTGCACCTATTTGCTTTAATATTTATTTTAGTTTTTTTTAATATAAAAATAATTTTTTAATTTATTTTATATAAAAATAATTTAACAATCATATCACTAATTATTTTTCACACTATTATCAAAACAAATACACTTTTACTTAATTCCTTCATTAACAACTTCACATTAATAATTTTTCACTAACTATTGTCTCACTAACACTTCCATCCAACATAATCTGCTAAACAAATGTAGCCTTTGATTAAAATGGGCAAACCAAATGTGACCAACACAACATTGTTGCTAGAAGCCGGACGAGCAGCAAACAGAGTTTGTCTACAAGGCCTAACATAATGAAATTTTAGAAAGTTTATATTACACGTATGAAAAAAATTATATTTTTAATTATTAATACTCATAAACTTTACCACTTATTTATAATTATTTTTCAAAATCACCATAAAGTGAAAATTTTCCCAATATTATACGGTTTCCGGACAAGGACAACTGGTACCTCAAATTGATTTTTATTGATCAAAATAATAAAATTTAGTAGTTTTGTATTAAATTTTTATCGCACACTAATTTGAAGCTGTGGTAGATAGAGAGTTGCGAATTAATTAAATTGACATATAAGATAAATGGTTGTGGGTATAGGCAAGTTATAATATTTGTGAATTTGATTATTATATATGTCATAGCTTAATCTTATTGGAGTGAAAAATAAATAAAAAAAAATATATAACTAAACACCATATAAAGTATAATCAAAGAATTCTTGAATCATAACTAAAATAATATCATAATTATTATTACAATGAGTCAAAACTAATATTACAATAAATTATAATTAAATTTTATAAAAATCATAACTAAAATGTATATAGTACACACTTCAAAAGAATTTCTCAAATGACTTATTTTATGATACTCCACAATAAGGCCTCGTTTGGGAACAGGCTAATTTAATAACTTTTTAACTATTTGACTAAAAAGGTAGGTAAAAAAAACTTGTATGTTTGGGATGACTTTTTGGCTAATTACGAAAAGATGTGCAAAAAGTAGAGAGAAAAGAGAATATTTGACTTTTTGGTATGAATTGTTGGCTTTTTGGCTAATTTAGTAACTTTTTGGCTAATTGGCTAAAATAGCCTCTTGCCTGGAATCATTTGGGAAATAATGACCGGACATAAACCAAAGCAATATAATATGGTAGTTGGATAAGTGGTATCCTCTTCTGGGAAGAGGGGTCGCTGCTGTGGTTAAAGCACAGCAGTGACTGTTATACTTCAATTTGAGATGTATTATAAACATATTTTTATGATTTGAATCGTTCATTTTGTAGGATTTATTGAGTACTTCATGTCTACCAAAAATCATATTAATCGGATATCAATAACTATATGATCGATAATCAAAAAAATAAATAATAAGTTTTTCTTTTCAGAAATAGCATAAAAAATATACTATTTGATCATATATTTATTGATATCCGATTAATATGATTTTTGGTAGGAATGAAGTACTCAACAAACCCTATAAAATGAACGGTTTAGA